ATATGTATATATGGACAAGTCAATGTATATCTGTATAAGACTGTCTAATCATCCCTTTGAAGACATAAACACAGTATTATCTGAAGAATAATCAATATTGGTGTGAAAATCGAGGGCTATATGGTTTATCCAAAGGAGCATAAATTGACAGAGGACAGGACCTCAAGTCAATATTTATAGAAGGTATTTTGTCAGATCATGTTATCAGGAGGTTATCATATGCCATTTTTTTTCAGAATCCCCCAGATGAAGGCTCAGCACCAGACATCATAGGAAGTTGGGGCAGGAACATTGGTCTGGGGATCTGAAATTACACCGTGGTCAAGCTCATTGGTTCCCATGTCTAAGAAGGGCCTGAGGAAGGTTATAAAAGCAATCTAGCACCTGACCCCATACTATAACTGTTAGATCTCTGGGAGTGGAGGCCAAGGGCAGCATGGAGAGCCCTTCTATGGGCAGCCAGGCTTGAGGTCAGTTTGTAGAGAAGAACAGAGCATGGGCCTGATCAGCAACCTGGAATGTTCCCCCAGGATCATCACTTTCATTGCCTAGTTCTCCATTTCCTTTTAGTATATGTGCTGCTGAAGCAAGCACAACCATCCATTTCCTTTTAAAATGAAAAGCATTCTCCCTGGTCTGCCTAGTTCAGGGTTGCTGGGGTAATCCAATGAGAAGAAAGGTGGGAAGTGAACATTTACTTATATTACCTCACTGAAGGTGACCATTATTATTTCCCTATTCAGCTGAGGAACACAGGCCTTGAGAAGTTAAGTATTGTGCAGGGTAACTATCTTGGAGGTGGAGGAGCCCACATCTGAGCCGAGCACATCTGGCTGTACCTTTGCATTGTATCAGGTGCTCCTCTGAGAATTTAGAGGTAAGGTGGACCATTGCTGCTCGGACTGAGGCATGTGAACAGCCTTGGCATCTCCTGGGGGCTCATGAGAAGCTCAGGACTACCTCAGGCTGGATGCACTTTAGGAGCTGTCCAGATGATTCCAGTATACCTTCAGGTTCAGAAATTCTCTTATGGAAGACTTAAGATGGGGCCAGAGAGTTTCAACATGAGGTTACAACAACCATGCAGGAATCATCACAATCCAACAAAATGCTAGAACCCCGAGGGATGAGCAGAGAAGTGGCACTCCCCTAGGAACGTCTGAGAAGCAGGTAGCAGTAATGGATTGCAGTTTCCTGCAGGGGAAGCTTTCATTATCTGAGAAAGTCCTAGACCTCCTGCCCCATCAGAATGGGTTTTAAGACAGGAACAAATCGTTTTAGTGCATTTGTATGCATGTGTTTAATTTTCAAAGGTAATACAATTACTTTTCTTTTTTAAAAATGAGAGAAGAAACCAGGAGGACAGAGTGTAGCCAGCTGATACAGCTCAACAGTGGAAGGCTCTCCTCTTCCTTACCTGTGAAAGTGTCATGCATTCCATTTATTTCTCCATCAGTCATTTATATTTCTGTGTGCAGAGCATGCACCAGGCAGAATGGCCAGTTAGGAGAGGGAAAGTCAGCTTCCAAAGTGTCTTTTATATGAGTGTTGTCCTTGCATTAAGTCCTGTTTTTGTGTATTCTGGCTGCTATGGAAAAACACTATAAACTATTATAACCACAGAAATTTATTTCTCATAGTTCTGGAGGGTGAGAAGTTAAAGATCAAGATGTTGATAAATTTGGTGTTCAGTGAGGGCCTGCTTTCTGGTTCATAAATCTGTCTCTCCATGTATCCTCACTCAGTGGAAGGGGCAAAGGGTCTGTCTTTCAGGACTCTTAAAAGGGCACTAATCCTATCCATGAGGGCTCTACCTACATGACCTGATCGCCTCTGAAAGGCCCCATCTCCTAATGCCAGTACTTTGGGAACTTCGTTTTCAACATAGGAACTTTGGGAGGACACAGACACTCAGATCATAGCAGCTCCTAAGACCTAACTTAGGAAGAGTATTGCCTTGATATAGTGAGGGGGGTGTTTTATGCTTACAGGGCCTGCAGAAAAGGACAGGTAGGAAATGCCAGGACTAATGACTAGGAAATCAGACGTCTGAACTGTACAAATAAAAACACAATCCTGGTCCTGACTGCATGCTTCAGGGCAATATCAGTCCAAGTGAAGAGATTCTAAGCCTGGAGACTGGATGTCCTATGGAATTTGATTTTGGAGGAGACTGCTCCATCCAGTTCTGTCTTCCCTGCCGTTCTGCAGTTTGCTGTATTGAGGCAGTATAACACTCCTGGAGGAGTGGGATTTCTTTCAAGTGAAATTTTATCCCACGTTCTCCTGTCTTAAGCTTGTGATTTATGTTTACTGTATTATTTAACCATACATCACTTTTCTGAGAAACCAATCTGTCTGAGAAGTGTACCAATTCCCTGAGTCAGAATGCTATTTATCCACAGCTCCAAAAACAGGAACACTAGACCTTGTAGGTATTAGGTTTCATAGGTATTTATAGACTAAAGAAGAGGTAATGATGCAAAAGTTAATGTCTTGTCATGGACAGGTGTGGATACCCATTCCTATGAACTCACAGGGACTGCAGAAGGTAACAGCACACCTAGGACCCTAAAGTCTTATCTCTGAAACTTTGAGCTTTTTACTCCACACTTACCCTCTGTCTTCATGTACCAGCTTTGCTTCAAACTGACCAAACTAAAATTGGCTAAGCCAATTGTTTTATGGTGTGTCCCTTCCTGGTTTTTTGTTTTGTTTTAATTTTTCAAAAAATCTGGATGAAGGGGATTTCAGTCAGAATGCTACTATCATTCTGTTATTCCTAATTTCATTCTATTAACAATTTTTGGAGTCACTTAGGCAGAGGCCTTGATTTTAGAAAAATGCACTTTTACGTTTTGACTCCAGAGATAATTTCAGCTCAACTCAACACATTTCTAGAAAGTGAGTATGAAAGAGGAACCACCTCTTCAGTCATCTTCCTGGGGAGCTGGAGTCTTTGCTGCTTTTACCACATTGCAGAAATTTAAGGGTATCCTGAGGGGCAGGTACTAAAAGAGAAAGACAGCTGCAGTGGGTTCCAAACTAGATTGTGTAAGCAAGCCCTGTCTTCTCCTCTGTCCTGTTCCCCTAGCTAACTGATGCCTTCCATCACCCTCAATGGATGGGGAAGGCTGGTTATTGACAGTTGGGCAATCTGCACAATAAAGCTTAACAGTTTACATCCCTTTGTATGACTTTGTCGATGTTTTCAATGGATTGCCTTCCCATGCCAGCCCTCACATTACACTGACTCCTCTCCTCCTTCTCTTTCTTTTCAAGCATGCAAACGTAAAGAGCAAGAACCAAACAAAGACAGGAACAATTCCCAGAAGAAATCCCGGCTGGTGTTCACCGACCTCCAACGCCGAACACTCTTCGCCATCTTCAAGGAGAACAAGCGGCCATCGAAGGAGATGCAGATCACCATTTCGCAGCAGCTGGGCCTAGAGCTCACCACCGTTAGCAACTTCTTCATGAATGCTCGGCGCCGCAGCCTGGAGAAGTGGCAAGATGACCTGAGCACCGGGGGCTCCTCGGCCACCTCCAGCACTTGTACCAAAGCATGATGGAAGGACTCTCACCTGGGCACAAGTCACCTCCAAAAGTGGACAACAGATACCAAATGAAAACGCTAAGGAAAAAAGACACCAGATTCTTAGCTGGGGCCCTTCACTGGTGATTTGAAAGCACAATTCTCTTGAAAATAAACTTTTATTCTAGCTGTAATCATAGGCCAGGTGTTCTTTTTGTTGTTGTTTTTAATGGCTACAGAATCCAAGTGCAAGCTGAAAAGTAATCTCTAAACCAGATACTATCTTCTGAGCATGCTAAGCAACCCAGAAACCCAAATGGGGCCTTCCTGGAGCCAGTTAGTTCTATTGTGATGCCAACCAAGCTCAGGATTGCTGAAAATGTCAACAGAACCACTTCGGGTCCTGTCAGCCTCTTGCAGAGTTCCCACAGGTAACAGTGAGAATATGGCCCATTTAAGGACTCCAAGTTTAGGCTTCCAAGACACTACAATAAGGAAGAATCTAGCAACAAGAATGACCTCATTTGCTTTCCAAGTTCTTAGCCTCATTATATCACAGTACACCAAAGTTCACAGCCATACCATTTAAAATTTCAGAATAGTAATTACTGAGCACAAGTTTTAAATATGGAAGTTTAAAAAAATAAAAATCCAAGGACCTATTTTTCCAACTCAGGCATCTCTTCTCATTGAATGAGTTAGAAAGCTTTAAGTTGATCCAGTTTACAGTCTTTTCTTTACCTCCTGGAAATCTCATGTGGTCTTGGATCCGTCAAAAAACAAAACGAAGCAGTTCACTTGAACTCAGAGTATCAAGCACAACAAAGATAAACAGAAGTAAGGAAGGTTCTGGATTCATTGCCCCTGGATTTTCAAGATACCTGTTAATGAAGTCATTAGGGAATCGAGAGTATGGCTTCAAGCACATTTTGCAGTTTGCTACAAATTTTGTTTGTACGTAACACAGATGCACACTCAGGAGGCCAATTTAACTGTTACAGTACACAGAGCAAATGTGGCATTTTAAAAGGTCTAGAGTTTTTTTAAAGATCATTAATGTGTCCTTCTTGGGTAGTCATCTGGTTCCTCCTGTTGTGCATTATGACTACCACCTAATTCATTCTCATTCTTTCTGATTTGTGTTGTTCCCTCATCCATCCCATTAGTAGGGATATTTCTAGTGTTTTCTAGAAACAATAAATCAAACCACTATACATGTTGCTCATGACTGTCATCTAGTCCTAACTCTCTTTCATTGTTGACTCCTCCTTGCAAAACAACTGAATAAATCTGGAGAAAACACAGCACACCAAAGAAGCAGGATACTGCAAACCAAAGACATTTATGACTTGCCATTTTCTAGCCTAAAAATACTGTGATTACTTTTAGAAATCAGAAAACCTGTGCAACCCCAAATGGCATTCAGCTCTTGCATTTGGCGCACCATCAGGCTGAGCGGACCAGCTATGCCAAGGACGTTAGCCAAGCCACGAGGCAGTGGCTTTACCACGCAAGCTCTGGTTCCTGGCCATCACCTTCCCACAGAAAGTAGAAGAGCGCCCACAGGACTCTGGGAGATTGCAAAGGTCACATGTGCATATTTACCAGTGAATGGCCCCAGGTGGGCACCATGGGGGTGTTCAAAGCAAGCCAAACGCTGCAATGATTCTTTACAGACACTTAAGACTGACTTTTTTATGAATTACTTAATCGAAACCAAAGAAACTTTTTCTGCACCTACTTCTGCAACAAACAGAACTGTCCCATTAAATGAATAAACAAATCCGTAAATCAATGGAAATCACCATCAACAAGAAGGAAGCACGCCAGAAAAAAAAGAAAACCCACAAAAACCAAAAAACAGCGAGACACACTGTGTTCAAACAGACCTCTTGGGACATTTTTTGGAAGCAGATTTGAAAGAAAGGGTTGAGACAAGAATTGATGTAAGGAAGAGCCTGAATGGCTGCTGCTTCATTTGACAACTCACATGGTAATCTTAAAGTTGAAGATTGTCTTTAATTTGTGCCTATGCAGTTTTTCAAAAGAACACGGAACAGAGCAACAGAAACCTCAACAGCTACAATACCAAAGATGAGGATTTCTCACACCTTTTGTTTCAGTTCATTATCTTCTTTTGCCTGGCTAAAATACTAATAGCGCCATTGATCTGTACAAAGGTAATCAATTTTGTTTCTCTGAGCAGCAAAAGGAAAGGGCCATTTATTTTATTTTATTGTTTCCTTTTAGTTTGGTTTGATGGCTTTTTACCCCAACATGGAATCTCTCAAAAGCTTCCATGGACTCCAAGTTTAAGATGTAGGGATACTGAACGATTCTCCTCTCTCTGCACAACAGAGCGTGGGGAACAATATTGTCACTTGAATGTTCTTAACTCTTAGACTTGGTTCTTTCTATGTTCAGAGTCTCATCATCAGGGGAGGGAAAGGGAGCAAGGATCAGGGGTAGGGGTCTTGGTGACACATCCTCTCCTGAGCCACAGAACCAAAGAATTTATAGAGGATTTACAGCCTGATCTTCATGTAATTGCTACATCTTAACAGGGCTTCATTTGGGGTGGGGGAAACATGTAAAAATAATTGCCAGTTTCTACTTTTCTATTAGCTTTTTAAAAATCAGCTGTAAAGTTGCATTTCTAAAGAAAGATATATATAATATATGAATACATATATAGATCAACTAGACATTGGTGATAACCCAAAATTTTTGCTGTCCAAATTCATGTCTTGTTTTTGTCACATGCTTCAAGCACTGGATATTCAGTTCAGAATTTTGCTCATTTCTCATGCAATCCCAGGGTTAATTTGCCACTGTGGATGACTTAGTTTATTTCAATTTTTATGAAAATTTCTGGGCAAGGTCAAAAGTGAAGTTCAAGCATTTCAACATTTAAACTGTTGATAAGTGGATTTGTGGTATAAATGAATTTTATTTGCATTTAGAGTTATCTCTATTCTATGATTAAGATTCCATGATTAAGATAGTGATTAGAGTACATCCACCATACAGAGCTGGGCCGCTGACATTGGAGGCTTAGCTTCTGTAACTGTTAGGAAGGCTCAGTGGTGCATTCCCACCAGCTATGGGACATGAGGCCAACCCAGAAATCCATTCATTCTCCAGGAGATGCTGTCTGCATCAGGACGTTCCAGATCCCTTAATGAGCAGAATCACTAGAGACTTCTTACGGTGACATCCATTTCCTGTTGCAGTGGGCTGATCAGGCTTCCTCGGGGTGGTAATCAGTTTGCATTGACAAGCCTGTGTGCAACCACACCTAGCACTGGGGTGGGATAATGGTGTTAGGGGGAGCTTTCACTCCTGGAGAGAAAATGTAGAGCAGGTTTTGGAAAGAGTTCCAGAGTTCTGCCCCTGCACCGCCCCATCACCCACTGTGCCACCTCCTCATCCCTTCCATGCAGGTTGCCCTTTGTACGAGAGCAGCCATGATGCTGTGGGAGAACATGGCTTTCCATGGTT